CGCCCCCCCCCCCCCAACCTCGTCTCTATGGCTCGTCTGTAAATCTTGGCTTCTCCCGCTTGCAGAAGCAGATGAATGTCTTCGTCCAGACCCCCGACGGGAAAACACTCCAGCTTGTCATCAGCACGAACGACTCGACCACCGACGTGAAGAAAAAGATCCAGCACAGCGAGGGCATCATCCCGCTCGACCGGCAGCGTCTGCTCTACACAAACCAAATGATGGACGATCTTCTCACGGTTTCAGAATACAAGATCAAGGAAGGAGATACGCTTCACTTGATTCAGCGCGTGAGCGGGGGCGGGTGGGCGAGCCCTCCCTCGTGTGGAGAGTATGTGATCTTCGTCAAGACCCTTACCGGGAAAACTGTCAAGCTTGTCGTCGGCTCGTACAACACGATCGCCGACATTAAGCAAATGATGCAGGACATGGAGGGGATCCCGCCCGACCAGCAGCGGCTGATATTCGCCGGCGTGCAGCTGGAGGACGGTCTTACGATTTCATTTTACAACATCCAAGGAAATTCTACGCTTCACTTGGTCCTTCGCTTGAGAGGAGGTGGATTCGCTGCTCCCCCCATTGCCGTTGGCGCCAAGTTTGTCGACGTTTCCGACTCGTCCGGCCTCACAGAGCACGCTTTCTCGGACCATGCCCCGCGCTGGAGGGTTGCCGAACCCGGGCTGTGCCTGGAAGGAAGGTGCACCAACAGCGACTGCGACGCTCACGGCCGCATGGTCATCCTCAACCATGGGCTCCGGGACTTCGACCTGATCCGGCCCGGCAGAGACCCGAAGCGCTGCCCAATGTGCAACTTTGAGGTGGTTCCGAGCACCTGTGCCTTCACCGACTGCACGTGGAGGTACAAGGGGCGGAAGGCCGGGGAGACCAACGTCCTGGTCGGCATGTGGAAAGAGGCCGGCGACAGCTACCACCGGTTCGATGGAAGGGGTGAGGTGGAGTGGGACAGGCTGCTCATCCAGGCCAGGCCCCTGCTCAAGCTTGAGCAACGTGTCCCTTCCGCACCGCCGGCGGACGAGAGGGTGGAACGTCCCAACACGACAGCCATTTCCGCTACGTCAACCGTAGCAGACGTGATCGACCACACGTGGGGTCGATGCACGAGGTGCACGGATTGTTCCGCGTTCGGGGCAACCTCTGCGTCGGACGAGACGGTCCTGGATTGTGGTCACCGGTTCCACACCAGGTGCCTCACGGGCTGGGAGCAGGGCTCGATGATCGTTTGCCCCATCTGCCGGGAAGAGTCGTGGCCGCTGCCCCAGTAGAGAGCAGTGTTGACACGCATGTTTGGCCGACACAGGGCTCGACGCAGTGCGCATGGTGTGGTGTCGTGTGTTTGGATATCGAGGCATCGTTACTATTCCGGATGAAAGAAGAAACGCGTGTCTTTCTTGAGGTGGTCACCTGTCAACCCCAGGAGGCGTAGATATATCTACGCCTATGCTGCTGCTAGTGGTTTGATTCTGAACTCCACCTCCCACAAGTGTTTTGTCAAGTACTGCGGGTAAATGGCATACGTTGATCGTGATCCGAAGACGAAGCAGAACAGGAGAGCGTTTATGTCTCCGCCGTGATTACCTCGGGGAGTCGTCTGTATGACGTGAGTTGTGTTGGTTTGGGTTCAGCTGGGTTGGGTCGAACCGACTTGGGTTGGTCGGTGTTGGGTACTGAAATGTGCCCTCTCGCTTTCACGTGTTCGTACCAAGGGGTAGATTAGGAGGGGCCACACAGCAGGTCTCCACACACGGGGGGTGTTGTGATACCTCTCTCCCGACACAACACGGACACTACCATGTGATATTGCGTGGTCTCGCAAAGTTTGCGCGACTTGGGGGCGCCATTTCGAACCCAGCTGCGCTGTAAGATGTTGCATCATCGGCCGCCGAACGCGCCACGAAGATGGCCGAATGGATCTCTGTTTGTGCACGCATCTGGTCGTATGGGACGAACTGTCCCATCGCAACCAACATGAATGCGAACATATGTTGTACCAAGTCGCGGGGCGAGGTGGAGATGAAACAAGGCGTCCAGGTCCCCAAACGGCACACGCGCGCGTGGTGGGGCAAACACATGCACCAGCATGCAAAGAAAATGAAACCCTAACAACGCAACATACAGCGGAATATGAGATGGAACCTCGGCAGCTCAAGTCAAATCAATGAACCAAACCTCATGCTCCCACAGACACAAAACAGGCACACAACCTCGTACGTTCGGCCGGTAAGCGCGGTCGAAGGTAACAATGAGGAACGACACACGCGCGCACGCGCGTTTGAACAAAAAATACATCTTGATTGAAACGTGACAATTTGACCACGGCGGTCGATCCTCTGTTCGCTACAATAGTCGTCCCAACGATTTTACTGGGCGATTCACAACGATGCCTCCTAGTCTACTCCTTCTCAAGCCCAAAATAGAGCCAGAGCCTCGGCACGAAGTAGCAGGAACTTTTCCGCACGGACAAAACGATTGGAGTGGGGGTGGGGAGTGGGAGGGAGGGCGGGATCGACGCCATTCGTTAAAACAGCGAGAGGGAGATGGGACGGTCGGTGGGTGCGTCGCGTCGTGATTGTCCCGTAAAAACGTGCGCCTTTTCCCACGGATGATATATACTAGTATGTATCTAGACCACATCCCCAAAACTCTCAATATTTCCACAACAGTTTCAGCAGGTATTTACTTCCCTACGAAAGAATATGTCGATCATCATGCGGGGTACGTCTCAGTTACAGCATCTCAGTGGCAGAGCGGCCACACAAGAACCGCAAAAAAAAAAAAAACACCATCACCGAAAGAGCTCTCTCGCTCTCTCTCTCGCTCTCTCTCTCGCTCGCTCCCTCTCTCTCTCTCTCACTCTGTCTCTCTGTCTCTCTCTCTGTCTCTCCCTCTCGAGCACGAACGACGGTGTGCATGCTCTCCGTCGGAGCAGCCAACCCACCCACCTGAATCCCATGCAGCCGTACACCACCACCTTGGAAGGGATGTCCACCAAATTCCTCCGCGGGGTCTCCCCCTTGGGCCAGCTGGGGCTGCGGGCGAGCACAGCTGATAGCGCCCCTCTAGACACGAGCTTCAGCGCCGACCTGCAGCGCCGCCGATAAAAAGGAGGGCGTGTACCTACTCGTGAACACGCATGCCGTAGTCGTTAGACCATTTACCTCGCATCCCTGCAAAGCCGGGACGGAGCACGCCGGGTTCTCACCGGACCAGGCTCTCACATCACCAAGCGCGAAGCGGGAAGGGAGGGGGGGGTTTATGGCCGTGCAAGTCGTAGTCCTTAGACCATCGACCTCGCATCGCTATATTTGCGGGACGGAGCGATATGCCGGGGGTTGTGGTTGGGGGCGATTTGACGCGGACCTTGGGCAAGGCGGTAGTACCCGTTTTTCCGATGACGAGCGGGCGGGGTTTGGGCATATGACGGTTCGGTGGGTAGAGATGATACATAACTTTATCTTTATCTTATGCACACCCATCCACCGGAAACCAAAACTTCAGCAGGGCGCCCGGGAGCAAGAGGATGGGGGGGGAGCCGTCTTTCGGTACGGGCGGCCTGCCTTCCACCGCGGATGCAGTAGCGTGGTTCCGAACAATGTGTCCCCCGGTTTCGTAGCTACGGTTCAAGGCTGTGCGGGCTGCCGTGGCATGTAGGATGTCGCAACAATTCACAGTCGCAGCAACGGCAACAGCAACAGTAGCAACAACAACAACAACAACAAAAAACAACAGCAGCAACAGCAACAGCAACAACAACAACAACAACAACAACAACAAACCTCATTGGCAAGAGGACTAAAAACCCCATGCCGCACCGCCTCCCGTCCCCGAGCAATGCGCTCCACCCGTACCCTTCAGCTCGCCCGGAGGAGAGCAAGTGAACTCCTTGCAGGACCTGCAAAAAAAAACGTGGGTTGTACCACGGTACAGTACACGGGAAAGACCGCACGGCGGGGGGCGGGTGGCCGAACAAGTTGCAACGGATTGACAACGTCTTCGACACACACCAAAACACTGCACTGCACTGCACTGACATTTTTTGTTGGCCGGTCGCTGGTATTCACGTCTTGTTCATTGGTTAGGCGGTTAGCGCGGTCGATGCTAGTGATGAACAAACACACACGCAAATAGTTTAGCCTGCCCCACCAGATCATGCACTACAGTATATATGTATTATCTGTTTCCAAAGGCACTGAGACTGAAGTCTTTCAATCGGTCAGGCGGTACGCGCGGCCGATGCCAATAATCAAGCGACACACACACACTCAGCGACGTTGCGCGTCGCTTCGCACGAGACAACCCTGGCTACAGGCACGTTTCCAGCGCCACAACACACTTGACCCCGCATGCTTCTACCCCTGGGACTGCAACAACAACACCTACAACAACAACAACACCTACAACACACCTGGAGAGTGACGGCACCGGCGGCGGCGGCACCGCCGCCGCCCCTGCCGCCGCGATACAAAAGGCAGCAGGCCTCAAGGAAACCCGCCGCCGTGGCCACGATGATCACGGTGTCCCCGAAAGAGTTCGTCCACCTTTTGGGGCACGGGTAGGCCAAGATAGCCCCGCCCGCCCCGCCCAAGACAATCAGCCAAGCCTGCACACGATTGGAGCGGGGTGACTCATGTAACCGCCTGCCGTAACATAGTCGTAGAGCTTGCATCCCTACGTTGCCGGAACGGGGCGAAACTTGGGGGGGGGGGAGAGATGGATGGGGACTGAGAACGACTCACTCTTCGCTGTTTAGACGTTTCTCACTTGAGACGGGGGCATCGGAGAGGGTCACAGCAAAACATTCAAATGGGCAAACCACAGGTTGGAGGTGACGTCGCAAATGGAGCGGCCCTCGTCGCCAGGGGCACGAGTATGTTCCCCGCTACGTGTAGGTCCGCCGCTTTTAACTGCAATCTCCCTTGTGTACCCTTACCCCTTACCACTGGATTTCCCACGGTAAAGGCGCCTACAGAAGACCCCTTACCATTGGGTTTCCCACGATAAAGGCGTCTTCAGGAGACCCCTTACCATTGGGTTTCCCACGATGAAGGCGTCAACGGCGCCGCCGAAGGCGAGCCAGAACGCCAGAAGGAAGCCCCCCAACAGATACCCCGCAAGCACGTCAGGAATCGAGTGTACCTGCCGGCGAGAACCAAGCAACAAAAACGGGAGCAAAACGAAGAAAAAAAACATAGCCGTTTTTTTCGAAAAAAAGCAAAGACGACAAAAAAAGGTGGAGGGTCAGCGAAAAAACGACCCTGAATATAGAGTATAATGCAGGGTTAAAATCGGCGGAAGAAGGACATTAGGAGGGAGGGTGTGTGTGTGTGTGCGTAGTCGTGCATGCCGTAGTCGTTAGACCATTGACCTCGCATCCCTACAAAGCCGGGACGGAGCACGCCGGGTTCTCAGCGGACCAGGCTCCTTCATCACCAAGCGCGAAGCGCCGAAATGTCTTCGGCAAGTAGCATGGAGGGTGCGCTGCATCGTGTTCGGCATCTTGTGCTTATCTCGCGTACATAACAGCTCCGAACGACTTCGTTTATTTTCTGGTGCTTAACTTCCAGAGACAGTTGTAAGCACTGTGTGATTGCCTCGAGGGTGCTTGACCATTTTAACACGACGTGGTGCGATCATCCTCTTTGTGCGGAGTGATAGTTCTCGACCCCGCACAACATAAATCTACTCGACCACCATTCACGGTTACCGCCAAAAAGAAGGCGGTAACCTGGATGTCGAGCTCACGACGCGATCGGCTTGCTTTACAACGTCTTTGCCAAGCGACGAAAACCCAATCCCGATGGCAAACACCGGGGGGGGCGGCTTGTTTTACAACGTCGTTGCCAAGCGACGAAAACCCAACCCCGATGTCAAACACCGGGGGGGGGGGGGGGGGGGGGGTGGATATTGTCTCCGTGGCACGGAGGGTGCCACACTAAAAAGCAAAAAAAACATTTTTGGGGAGCGCTCTTAACGAGAACAGACGGTTTCAATGCCACGATTTTCGGCGCCATCACCACTACTGTTGTTGCTGCAGATAAATCAAGCTTGGAAAATCGGTCCAGGGGGGGTGGAGTCCTATGCAATCTATGGTGGCACGGCAGGTGGCCACATCGCTCTTGGGTTAGGGGATAGTGGGATCAGATTTTACATCGCCTTTGAGTGAGTGGGGTCACACAAGCATGCGCGGCCTTCCCTTAGGGCTGTTTGAAGCACAGCTGTTTTGCTTCCAAAATTCTAAGATGCCAGTTTTCGACTTTTTTGCAGATTTCCAATATTTATTTTCAAAATTTTGGAACCAACTCGTTCCAACTTTTTCGACCAGTAGTTTCCAAGTTTCAAATTTCAAAATTTCAAATGAAAATATCCTCGGCAGCAAATTTGAGGTTCTGTGGTCTACGGATTTCGGAACTTGGAAATTTCGGAGCAAAATAGCTGCTGTTTAAACCGCCCTTACCCTTAACAATTATGGTAGAATAAGCTCACACACACTTCCGTCTCTCACCCCCATGTACAACCTGCTGGTCGCGATGGCGAAGCTCCAAGCCAGGCACGCCCACAGCAACACCCCCGCCGTCAGATAACTGCTATCATCCCCGACGACATTGGCAGCGCCGCCCTCGAGGAGGGAGCAGTCATTACCGTCGCAGCCGCTGCTTCCCCGGCCGCTTCCTCGCCGGGAATGGCAAGCCACGAGGAACAAGGGGATGAGCGAGCCCATCGTGTGCGTGCTTGGGAGGCCGTACCTTCGGGGTGGGGGGGGGGGGNCGGACCAGGCTCTCACATCACCAAGCGCGAAGCGCCGTGAGGTATTCGGCGAGTCGCATGAAGGGTGCGCTGCATCCGGCAACGGGTGTTCGGCATCTTGTGCTTACTTCCTTGCGTACGGATGACAGCTGCGTATGACTTAATTTATTTTCTGGTGCTTAACTTCCAGAGACAGTTGTAAGCACGGTGTAACTGCCTCGAGGGTGCTTGACCATTTTAGCACAACGTGGTGCGATCATCCCCCTTGCGCGGAGTGAGGGTTGTCGACCCCGCACAACATGATCTACTCGATCACCATTCTGTTTACCGCAAAAAAAACAAACGCAAAAAAAACCCGGTAACCTCGTTGCCGAGTTCACGAAGTGATCGGCTTGTTATACAACATCGCTGCCGAGTGACAAAACCCAACCCCGATGGCAAACATCGCCGGAGGGGGGAGGGTCGGGGGGGGGGGGG